ATATCTTGTATGTAGGATATGTTTTATACCATCTTGTAGGATATGTTTTATATCTTGTATGTAGGATTTGTTTTATATCTTGTATGTAGGATATGTTTTATACCTTGTATGTAGGATATGTTTTATATCTTGTATGTAGGATTTGTTTTATATCTTGTATGTAGGATATGTTTTATACCTTGTATGTAGGATATGTTTTATATCTTGTATGTAGGATTTGTTTTATATCTTGTATGTAGGATATGTTTTATAGCTTGTATGTAGGATATGTTTTATATCTTGTATGTAGGATTTGTTTTATATCTTGTATGTAGGATTTGTTTTATAGCTTGTATGTAGGATATGTTTTATATCTTGTATGTAGGATTTGTTTTATACCTTGTATGTAGGATATGTTTTATATCTTGTATGTAGGATATGTTTTATAGCTTGTAAGTAGGATATGTTTTATACCTTGTATGTAGGATATGTTTTATACCTTGTATGTAGGATATGTTTTATACCTTGTATGTAGGATATGTTTTATAGCTTGTATGTAGGATTTGTTTTATAGCTTGTACGTAGGATTGGTTTTATATCTTGTATGTAGGGTTTGTTTTATATCTTGTATGTAGGATATGTTTTATAGCTTGTAAGTAGGATATGTTTTATATCTTGTATGTAGGATTGGTTTTATATCTTGTATGTAGGGTTTGTTTTATATCTTGTATGTAGGGTTTGTTTTATATCTTGTATGTAGGGTTTGGTTTAAATTGTTAATATGTGATGAATCATGCTTCATAATGCACTAATAACCTAGTAGATGAACAAACATAGTTGGACCACCAAGACGTGTTTCACGTGTCTACACAGTAACAAACGTAGTTGGACCACCAAGTCTGGCAGCCTTTGTTAGGGTAGCTCTTGTCTTCTTGTGAAGTTATTTGTGTATTTTGTAATGTTTTCTTTGCTGAAAACTAATGGAAACAAAACATTTAAGTATACTTTAATTATGGCTTAAAAGTTTTGCTTTTCCAGTTACAAACTACATTTCAAATTTGTGTGTTCTTAGAATTAATATTCTTAATTACTTAGATCAATTGTTATTTAAAGGAATATATTTAGCCAATGAACAAGCAACACCTGAATAATTGTAATTTGCTGAAATCTTATCAAACAGAGGTTTATGTAACAATTTGAGTTAAACATAAAATTGGATTTCATCTTTTTAGCTCAGTAAGGAGTAATTCAAAACAATACAAATTTGTTTTTAAACTGTTCTTCAATAAAGATACTTTCTTTCTGTAGAAGGTTCCTAGCAATGCTTCCTGGGATCAAGCACTAAAGTTGATTGTGAATGATCCTCGTTATGGAACTCTTAAAAAACTTAATGAGAAGAAACAAGCTTTCAACGCCTACAAAACTCAAAAAGCAAAAGAAGAGAAGGTAATTTTATTATTTCCTCTTTCTTTGGATAATTAGTTAATTATAATTACTGACAGTGTTACTAAAAGTATGTGAGAAATTGTCAGCTTAAGAATCTATTCCATGAATAGAGATGTAGTTCAGGTTTTAGTTTGATTCTGTCCAGTACTTGGGATAACACTTAGACATTGAATTAGGTAACATTTAAAAGAAACTTTTCATTAGACTTTGTATCAAAAGTCAAATTTAAAAAATTATGTTCAGTGCAGTTGTAGTTCTGGTTTCAGTCCAAGGTATAGGCCTGGCTCTTCAATCCATAATAGAGGTGCTGTTTTCTAGCGTAAGTAGTGATATGTTGGAAAGAGATGAGATATCATATGTTTTCAATTAGAGATGAGAGAAGATGGATTATAAGATATGTTCAGATGGATGACAAGAGGGGGTGGGGGTACCATGTAACTCAACTGGATGATGGAAATAGGTGAAACAACATGAATGTTCAACTGGATGATGAAAAGAGGTGGGGTATTTGTTATCTTCAATACATTGATGAAAATTGTGTTCAGACACGATGAAAAGCAATGGGGTGTTATCTTTTGCTGGATGATTAAATGGTGTATTGTGTGTCAGTTATCTGTGACTAGATGGTGAAAGGAGGTGTGGTATTAATTATCTTTTGCTGGATGATTAATTGGTGTAGTGAGTGTCAGTTATCTGTGACTGAATGGTGAAAGGAGGTGTGGTATTAATTATCTTTTGCTGGATGATTAATTGGTGTAGTGTGTTTCAGATATCTGTGACTGGATGGTGAAAGGAGGTGTGGTATTAATTATCTTTTGCTGGATGATTAAATGGTGTAGTGTGTGTCAGTTATCTGTGACTGGATAGTGAAAGGAGGTATGGTATTAATTATCTTTTGCTGGATAATTAAATGGTGTAGTGTGTGTCAGATATCTGTGACTGGATGGTGAAAGGAGGTGTGGTATTAATTATCTTTTGCTGGATAATTAAATGGTGTAGTGTGTGTTATTTGGTAAGTACTGCTTGGACCAGGCATGATTTAGTGGTCAGCGTGCTGTGCTCTAGATTGAAATCATTAAGGGGTACTAGAAACAACAGCACTGAATGGTCTCCATGCTTTCAGCTATGGTCATGTCATAAAAGTGACAGTCAATACCATCAGCATAAGATGTCAAGTTCCAGTTCCAAATGATGCTCTTCTATGAATGATCTTGTGATTCCTGGGTAATAGGACATGTCTTATTTCAAATACACCAATAAGGAACATGAGCAGATTGACTAGAGAATTCATTTGAGGTCAAAGACAAAGAAAAACCATGTTTTCTTATTTCATACTGTTTTTGTCCACTGTTTAGACAAATGAACATGTATATAATAAGGTTCAGTGTGTGTGTGTGTCACATAACTCCTCCTAAACTGCCAGTCAAGCTGACTTCTAAGTGATACCAAATGAATTGTCTTAGTCCAGAGGTTTGCACAAAGGTAAATTTTCATCCATTTATTTCATGATTTTCACTGAACAGTAGGGTGTACAACTTGTAATTAACATTAACTGAAAGGTTTATTACATGATTTTTGCAGAACAGTATTGTTGTTCAACTTGTGATTAATATTAACTGAAAGGTTTATTACATGATTTTTACTGAACAGTATTGTTGTTCAACTTGTGATTAATCTTAACTGAAAGGTTTATTACATGATTTTTACTGAACAGTAGGGTGTACAACTTGTGTTTAATGTTAACTGAAAGGTTTATTACATGATTTTTACTGAACAGTAGGGTGTACAACTTGTGTTTAATGTTACCTGAAAGGTTTATTACATGATTTTAATGAAGAGTAGGGTGTACAACTTGTGTTTAATGTTAACTGAAAGGTTTATTACATGATTTTAATGAAGAGTAGGGTGTACAACTTGTGTTTAATGTTAACTGAAAGGTTTATTACATGATTTTTACTGAACAGTAGGGTGTAAAACTTGTGTTTAATGTTAACTGAAAGGTTTATTACACTATTTTTACTGAATAGTAGGGTGTACAACTTGCGTTTAATGTTACCTGAAAGGTTTATTACATGATTTTTACTGAAGAGTAGGGTGTACAACTTGTGTTTAATGTTAACTGAAAGGTTTATTACATGATTTTTACTGAACAGTAGGGTGTACAACTTGTATTTAATGTTAACTGAAAGGTTTATTACATGATTTTTACTGAACAGTAGGGTGTACAACTTGCGTTTAATGTTACCTGAAAGGTTTATTACATGATTTTTACTGAACAGTAGGGTGTACAACTTGTGTTTAATGTTAACTGAAAGGTTTATTACATGATTTTTACTGAACAGTAGGGTGTACAACTTGTGTTTATGTTACCTGAAAGGTTTCTTACAAGTTATTAACCAAAACATGAAAGAATGATTTTTTTCTTCTTTATTTTCAAACATAGGAAGAACAACGTTTAAAAGCCAAGAAGGCCAAAGAAGATCTTGAACAGTTTCTTCAGACAACTGATAAAATGTTGTCAACAGTGAGATACAGGTCTGTATAATTAATTAAAATATGTATATTTAATTCATTTTAATCATATGATATACCTCAAATGTGATCCTAGCTGCTAATGAGATGTGGGTTTGAATTCATATTTTAAAACTTCACATGGAAACTATATCTTTTAAGTTAATGGCATTTAAAATATAAATATATTAAAGACAGAAATATTTTTTCTTCTGATTTTAAACCCTTTTTTTTCTATATTATTCCTGTGACAAGATTATTTGCATATGGCTAAGCCTATTTTTGTTGTTCCTTGAGTTTCCATTTCTACAGCCATTGGTTTATTTTTACAATCACTTCACTCTCTTGCTTTCAAAGTCAGCGAAAAAGATAAACTTTTTGTTCTATTTTTAGTCAACTGATATAGCGTACTGCAGCATAATTTTTCAGAAATTTACATAAACTGTTTTAGAAAAAAATAAAGAAAAATGAAAATAAAAGACAAATTAACAGTTGAGTAAAGGCCTTTTTTGTTGTGTGTATGTATTTGTTTTTTTATTTACTGTATATTTATTCTTAAGAGATTTAAACCAGTGTTTCTCAACTGCTGGTATATCACAACCAATTTGTTGGTGTTTGGGATTTTACAAAAACTGACAGAATACTCTACGAAAGTTATAATGGTTTTTCATTGTACTTGTATTTTAGTGGTCTAAGTTGGTCCCTGGTATCCAAAAGGTTGATAAATGTTGACTTAGATTACTTCATTAACAGTAAGTGTTATCACTCATTCCATATAAAACTGCTTAATACTGACTGAAACACCTACATTACAGTTGTTTAAAGATTATGTTATAACTTGTCGAGAATGACCCCTGGCTGGACAGCTGTAAGTAGACGGGCTTAGATGCTAGAATCTGGGTTCCCCTGCAGTGGACACGGTAGTCCAATGTGGCTTTGCTCTAAAACAAACAAACTTATTGAAAAGCCATTGTTCTGAAAAGGATAAAAACATCTCTCAATATTGCATGTTTTTCGTGAAATTTTTAGTTGACACATACCCATAGAATTTAGTAAGTGAAATTGTTTTTTCCTCTCCAGTGTTTTATATTACTTCAATATATCATGGATATTATAAGCTGTAGATCATTAATATTACTGATGCTTCAGTAAAAATTAATGGTTTTCTTACTAACTCTAAAATACTTAAGAACCATAAACATTTGTAGTATGTTTACCAGTAGTATCTATTGTATTATGACTGGCACTTGAATAAAACAAATGTGCAGTGATAATATTAAACAATTTAGGCTACATACATTAGTTTTATTGTGTGCATGGTGGTGAACTCTGTTTGTCACTTGTTAAACTATTTGTAATTTAATATAGGGTTATAGTTTAAAACATTAATTTTTTTTTATTTTAATACTTCAATGATTTAAAAATAATGTTTGATATTCATTATAATGTTATAAACTTTATTTTTTATGTTGTAATTTAGATGTTAGCTAGAGAGTGCATGGTGTTAAGATCAAATAAATTTGTGATAGTTAGGCCTAGAATATACTAAATTGATAACAATCCTAGGACTTTGCAAAATATTTAGAACAAGGATTTCAAATAAATACAGGTGTATCAGGTAATAATCTAAGTAGGTTTGCACAGTTAATCAGTGAGAGAGAGTTTTTGTTTGTGTTTCGCTTTCAGTTACTTGTTCAATCAGCCATGAAGTTGTACAGGCAAGTTTTTGTTATGTTAGTTTTGGTACTTCCATTTGAGTGTCATCTATAAAGTTACTTAAGCCTACAACTTACACAATACATAGTGTAAAACATTTGTATAGTTACTTAGGCCTACAACTTACACAGTACATAGTGTAAAACATTTGTATAGTTACTTAGGCTTACAACTTACACAGTATATAGTGTAAAACACTTGTATAGTTACTTAGGCCTACAACTTACACAGTACATAGTGTAAAACATTTGTATAGTTACTTAGGCCTACAACTTACACAGTACATAGTGTAAAACATTTGTATAGTTACTTAGGCCTACAACTTACACAATTCATAGTGTAAAACATTTGTATAATTACTTAGGCCCACAACATACACAATTCATAGTGTAAAACATTTGTATAGTTACTTAGGCCTACAACTTACACAATACATAGTGTAGAACATTTGTATAGTTACTTAGGCCTACAACTTACACAATACATAGTGTAGAACATTTGTATAGTTACTTAGGCCTACAACTTACACAATTCATAGTGTAAGACATTTGTATAGTTACTTAGGCCTACAACTTACACAATTCATAGTGTAAGACATTTATAAAGAAACATTAGGAAGAAATAGTTTAATTTGTTATCGTTACATTGACTTGACTTTGAATTATTTTCACCAGAACTTGTCTATGAAAGAACAACCTATACAACAATAAGAATGCTTAGTGACTCAACTGAAGTAAGTGAGAGATGATGCTAAGACAATAAATGCAACTTGATATATATATATATACTTACTGACTCAACTGAAGTAAGTGAGAGATGATGCTAAGACAATAAACACAACTTGATATATATATATATATACTTAGTGACTCAACTGAAGTAAGTGAGAGATGATGCTAAGACAATAAACACAACTTGATATATATATATATATACTTAGTGACTCAACTGAAGTAAGTGAGAGATGATCGCTAAGACAATAAATGCAACTTGATATATATATACTTGACTCAACTGAAGTAAGTGAGAGATATGATGTTAAGACAATAAAGACGATGTTTTATATACCACTTGATTGACTCAAGTGTTTTATTTTTTAGTTTTCTTATTATATTGACTAACATATTACATTACTTTGAGTTTTGTATTATGGGTAATATATATACCTTCTATTAACAGGAAAGCTGAACAACTTTTTGGAGAGCTTGATGTGTGGAAAGCAGTACCTGAGAGGGAAAGGAAGGAACTCTATGATGATGTGTTGTTCTTTTTAGCCAAGAGGGAAAAGGTTTGCTCATAGTCGTACCTGAGACAATATTCACATTTCACTACAGAATATCAAGAAGTTTATAGAACTGTAGCAGAAGAACTTTAGTGACCAGTTTTCTAAAATCTTTTAAACATTTACTTTACTGTAGTTTGTGCTTTATTTTAACTGTGTATTGTCAACATGAACTGATTATTATTTAAGATATTATGTTTGTGCTGCAGTTTGTTTTCACTTTACATTTATAGTCTCTTTATGTTTGTCATAATCGTTTTAATAACAGTAATCTTGCATTTTCAGGAAGAAGCAAAAGCCTTACGTAAAAGAAACATGCGAGTTCTCAGTGACGTTCTAGATTCCATGACCAGTATTACGTACCGTACTACGTGGCAGGATGCCCAGCAGTTGTTGTTAGACAATCCAACCTTCTCTGAAGATGCTGAATTACTCGGTATTGTTTACGTTCAAGATTTACACTTACTTTTGGATAAGTTAATGAATTGGTGTAATTTTTATGTTTTCTATTTCATTCATAAACAGAGACAATTTACAAAATCAGTAAGACATCTTTCTATAATGTTTAGAATTTTACAGTTAAGAATATTAATTTTTCAGTAACCCTTTCCTGACTAGGGATATCAATGATAACTCTTCATATTTTACATTCTTACAGGGAAATTAATTCACTAAATTTCATGCAACTTGATACATGGAAAAATTGTATACAATTTTGTTTAGTGTTTGTATACTTTTTTAGATTGTGTGATGTATGAAATAGTTTAAACTAGTACTAATTTGAAAATATTTGTTTATTTTTTTATATTGATCAAAAAGTTCCATATCAGTTTTGACATGTTTCATATTAATCAATATATTGGTTCATAGTGGAGCAGTTCCTTCCTACTGTAAGTTGGACAAACACACTATCATTGTAAATCCTTGTTTGTGTCCAACTTACAGTAGGAAGGAACTGCTTCAATATGCCTTTAAAATAATGGTGGGACCAGAGTGATAGATAAACACAGTATC